TTTTTTTTTTCTTTTATTGTTATTGCTTCAATCTCTCTATTTCCTTAACTCACCTCCCCATTTAACAACATGTCAGACTATAATGGGACAGGAGTGTTAGATCCACAGACAGGAAATTACATCTTTCTTGTGATAACAGTGTATTCCATGAAAGAATGGATAAAAATCAGGGAAACTAATGTCCAGCATTAGGGTCAGAGGCAGTCAGACACTGGGCAGATTTGAAACACAAAGATAAGTTAGGAGGGGCTAACACCAAAAAAAAATGCAGGGACAGAAGAGGGTCAATGTTTATATGTGAATTACCATGTTCATGTGAATTTCTTCATCTTCAGCAAATTGTAAGAGTTTGGGCATCCAATTGGCTATATCTAGGGTTCACAGACTTTAGAGACTGTGACAGATTGGAGCAGATAAATCAAAGTGAGTTCTTTTACCTTCTTGCCTTTCCACAACTTTTACACTTTGGTCATATCTTGTTTGTTAACTATCCTTCTAGGTATTCCCATTTACACCTCTGGGTACCCACGAGACACCAGTGTCCTCAATCTCTACTCAACATTTGCCTTAGTCCTGTCATACTTTTGAATCACTTGTAGGCTACATCAAGTTTTATTATATTTACCTGTGTCCTTTGGGAGCTCTGGTAGCGTAGTGCCTAAGGCACTTGACTGCTAACCAGAAGGCTGGCAATTCAAACCCACTGGCCACTCCTCAGAAGGAAGATGGGGTAATCTACTTCCATAGTGATACTGCCTTGGAAATCCAAGAAGGGGTCACTATGAGTCGGGTCCGACTCGATGGCACATAACAACAACTGTGTCCTTTAGTTGAATTGTAAATATGATGGTGGGTTGTGGTGTGTGGATGATTCCAAGAGACATATCATATGTCTGAGATGAAGTGAGGTTAAGAGGAGAAACAACTTGAATGGGTGAAAAATATTGCATGATTCAAGATCCAAACCAAACCAAACTCACTACCATTGAGTTGATTCTGACTCATAGTGACCCCTTTTGGGTTTCCAAGGCAGTAAATCTTTATGGAAGTAGATT